AAAATTCTAACTACTATATATTCTGACATTTACAAGGAAAGCAACCAAACCCCAGAAAAATACTGGCTACATATGCTTGTTAATGAAGTTAGGATTTCTTAACAATATTGGTCTTTCTCTGCTTTACAAAATAATAAAGGTATAGATTACAGGGTCTGGAGTAAAGTAGAAAAAAGTAAAAAGTAAAGCTATCCCCGAACCAGGCCGTGAATGCCCATAAGGTTGTGAGACGCTGAGGGTCCCACATTGTCTAGACAATCGGCTCATAGAAGGTGGTAAGGTTGCCAGCCCTACATGCCGGCTGCGCTTTACTCTCCAGGAAAATTATTTAATTAATTCCTGGTACTCATTTCTGTTAGAGGTTGAGTAAACCCCAAGGCCTAGCGCGGCTGGAAGGATTAGGTCAACCGAAAAAAATTCAATGACCTCATCAGGACTTGAACTCGCGACCTTCCAGCTTGTAGCATAGCTCATCAACCACTACGCTACCGCACGCCCCACAGGGTCTGGAGGAATATCAAAAATCATATCATCAGCAAACAGCACACATTTACAATTCATAGTATTACTGCTTACATCTACGAGTATAAGATTTGTGCCTAACAGAATAAAAACACTTCCACAAAAGCTTACCTTGAGATTTAAAGCAACTGCCTTCATCAAAACAATTCATGTGACAGTTGACATAACTATCATTAAAAAGTCCTCTCCAAATGCATACATCACTTGCATATGGAACACAACTCTGGTAAGTACTGTGCCTTCTTAAACAGGCTGAAATGAAATTTCATAAGAATCAGTTTTATTTTAACCTGCACAATTCAGTTTTTATGCCGCTTATGAAATTATTTTCAACATTGAACTGCAAGAGGGAAATACTGTAATTTCATGTGACTACATCATTTTTATGTTCTTCAGTATTCTGTCAATCTCATAACAAAACTAAGTGTTACAGTTATGGAAAATAATGTGTACAGATGCAATAAACAGAATTACACCTAACAAAGGGAAATACCAGAAATTACCTTCCCCACACAAATATTCATCTCATTATTACAAGAGCGATAAGAGAATTCCAATGTAATACATATATTTTCCAAAACAATTCTTTGCAATTTTACATACCTCACCAGCCTCAACATTCATTTGCTGCTCACACAAATCTACTGCTGTAAAGCTAACTGAAAGCTAACATATGTAAATCAGGAAACCTTGTTGATGGTTTACTATGCTTATTTTCATTCACTTATTCACTATGGTGTCATTTTTTGGGGTAATTCTTCATACGCCATAAATATTTTTCGTTTACAAAAGAGGGTAGTTAGAATTATAACTGGTGCTGGTAATAGAAGCTCGTGTAGACAGATATTTACCACTTTAAAAATTCTTCCTCTATCATCCTTATACATTTATTCACTTTTATGCTTTGTGGTACTTAACATGGATCAATATCAATTTGTATCTGATGTACATAACAGAGACACTAGACAGGGTTTTAACCTTAATCTTTATCAACCTTCAAATCATTTATCATTATACCAGAGAGGCTCGTATTATATGGGCATTAAATTATTCAATAGTCTTCCATTAAACCTGAAACAATTATACAGAGATGTCAAACAATTTAAATTAAAGATAAAGGAATTTTTGTATAATCACTCATTTTATACCTTGGAAGAGTATTTTGTGTATTTTAATTGAAGGGTAATTTTGACACTGATCATACTCATGAGTTTTAGTTGTATTATTTATCTATATGTGTACATTGACTTAGTACTTTTGTACTGTTTATTTATTTAAGTTTATTATTTATATTTTATTTATTATACTTTGGAAGAGAATTCTGAGTATCTTTAAGGTTTAGTATTAATCTGATATGGTCATATTCATATAATTTGTACAAAGGTGTTAACAGTTTTAAATTGAATCTGAAGAATTCTAGTCTTGTTACTCATTTTATGTATTGGAAGAGTATTTTGTGAATTTTAATAGGAAGAGTAAACTTAATGCTGGTTATTTTCTTGGGTTTTAGTTGTATTATTTTATTATATCTGTATGATTAGCATTTTGTGCTGTATTTTATTGTTGTTTCTTTTATATATTTGGAAGTGTATTTTGAGTATTTTTGATAGGAAGGGTTGAATTGATACTCGTTATGTTTTTTATGATCTCAGTAGTATTATTTAACATATCTGTATATTGACTTGGTACCTTGTACTGTTTTTTATTTATGTGTTTTGTCTGACTTTTCCACATCCTCTGAATGTATTTCTAGTACTGGATTTATGGAAATAAAGACTACTTCTACTACTAATCACAATGCACACAAAAATAATTTTCTTTCTACTTCATTAAATAAATATTCACCATACTGAAAAATGTTTCAATAAGAACTGTATAACTCCATGAGTTCAAGGTTTAATATCATGTGACAATTTTTTATACAATCAGCTATGGGGAAAATTCATATACAGTAGACTCTCGATTATCCGCGCGCTGTTTAACCGCTTTGCGGCTCAACCGCGGCAATGTATTTTTAAAGATTTTTTTTTTTCAGTGAGTATCACATTTGTTTANCAGATGCATATAGGAATGGATGTCTAGACCCACGTTTTCTTGACCTCGGCACTAGTTGGGGGTGGACTGATATAAATCAAAATTAAATCTGCATGGCAACTTTCAACACAGAAATTCCACATAAAATTTTATTGTAAACTGTATGGCAGTTACAGAAATCAGACCTGCAGACAGAAAGATGGACATGGCCACAAATCTGCCACATCTGTGCAAAGAATAACAAAATAATTTTAAGTCCCTGGGGGAAATAACATTATGCAATTCATTTTCAAATTATTTTGTGTGTAGAAATCACATGACCTCAGAATAGTGACAGACAAATTTTTTCTCTGATGTAATAACAAACTGGAATATTTTGACAGCTATGGGTGCCTGTTTATTTGCGTGACTTTACCTACTGGAGAATGTTACCACACAGCTTACTTCTGGGATATAGAGAAGTAAATATATGTGGAAGTTTTGTAACAGTTATGATAGAAGTTTCTGAAAATTCTGAATTAATTTTATATTGTGATTTGAAGAGAAAAAATCAAAAGTATACAACATGGTAAATGAAAAGAAATATAAGTAATGTTCTGTGGAAAGGCAATACCATAGCTCAAGCGGTTAGTTGCTGGCTTCCCACTGTGGCGGCTCGGGTTCAATCCCAGGTCTGATGAAGTGCTATCTGTGGTGGACAAAGTGGCACTGGGGCAGGTCCCCCCCCCCAAGTACTTTGGTTTCCCCTGCCAATCTTCATTCCACCAATTGCTCCACAATCAGCCTCACCTATCATCTGGGGCTGGTACAATAGGCCAGAAGTGGCCACAGTACAAGAGACTTAGTCCCACCCCACTAGCAATAAAAAAAAAAAATATTTTGTGGATACCAAGTTACAGCAATTTCAGTTCCTTTGACTTTGCTTATGAGGACATATGAAAGGTAACATACATAGGGGAATCACCAAACACAGAAAGAAGTGAACCACTTGTGCACAAGAAGGTTCTCCAATAAGTGCTTCACCTTGCATGCCTAATGCCACAGGTGCGATGACTGTTCATGTGTGGATATTACCAGCATATCATGGGGTCTGGGGAAATTATATCATTGTTTTGAAACCATACAAATTACACTATGTGGCTGTGGTTGCAAGAAAAGCCCACACTACAATTTAATTTCAGGGGATGGCTTAAAAGATCAATATACAAAAATTAAATTTTAACATTGATTAAATAATTACTATAATCAAAACCCAATTTAATGCTTAATAATTTAAGCCTTTCCTTCATTTTATGTTCAGTTTGGTGAACCTGTCAATAATCTTGGTATTAAGTTACCTCTATTCAAAGATTTTCTCAGTTCAGTGGTCTATGTCACTGCTCCCAAAATAAACCTTAAATGGGGTTTCACTGCAACTTTAGAATTGTTCACCATGCAGTCAACAGATATTCAGCATTTCAAGAAAGGTTTGTTACTATGGAACTCAAATATTCTTCAACCATTATGGCCAGAGAACAGGGCATTTTACATCCTCTGGTATTTGGGGCTGATAGTTCAATTTTAACTTCAAGCCATGGCATTAGTACTGAAAAAATTAAATGCCTGGCCAGCTAGACTACATGCAATGCACAATGAATAGAAGCTAATGTCATCACAAAAACTCATCACTGGCCCCTCAAGTATATACTCCAATGTATGTCTCCTCTCTAAATCTATGACACATTCTTCTCCGTATAATGTTTCTATAGAGTCAAGGGCCAGGTTTTACACTAAAAGATACTAAAAAAATTACACAAGATTCAGAACTCAATAATACTTATGCCAATACTAAAATTTACTAATTCTCCTAGCACTGGGAAATTATGGTGCCTTCATTACAAAACTTCTCTGTTCTAAGCAATTTTGGCATACAATCAACATTTCTGTATGCTGTATAAGGTACTCTGGGGAAATCTGAAACCCCTAAACCTTTCTCACTGTAACCACTGTAAAAATACACCGAGTTACATTGCACAAACTGTATGAAAGTTACAAGATATTTAATCATTTTACACAAAGTACTACTTTATCTGTCGGTTTGATGAAGTGCAACCCTGATATTTTATTGTGTTTCCAGTTCTATAGCTTAATTTCACTTCAATTTGAGAAGTACCTCTATAAGATGTGTATACAAGCTCAAGATCCAGCTTTTCATTTGGTTTCAACTTTATATTGGCAACATATATGTAAGTGTCCAGTTCTCCACCTGGATCAAGGACAGTCCCAATATCCTCTTCCAGCACCTCCACGTCCTCTTGCGTCTGCCTGAAAGAATGGATCTGCCCACAATACTTCCTGCTCTTTGATCCATCTTTCCGTTTGAACTACAAAATAAAGCAAAGATGCAAAATATACATGTGATTGCCTGTTAATTGGATTCTTAACTCAGAGACATATTTGTGTTGCTTTACATATTAAGCCCCAAGTGAATGGTTAATACTGTTATAGGAACATGTAGGACACCCAGAGTAAATGTACGAAGGGTGCTCCATATATAATGCCTCCTATTTTTTTGTGCTAATCTGTAACATCTGAGCTGGATGTTGGTGGTGTTGTAGTAAAGGTTGAACCTTCCCGTCAATGTACTGTTAGTTTGAATGTCATGCAACAGATAGCGACAGCAGAGCAGTCTACCAAAATGGCGTCTGACATAGAAGTGTGTACAAAACAGAGATGTATTATTGAATTTCTCACTGCCAAACAAATTGCAAAAATTGACAAAAAGTCAAACATTTTCACACTAGGTCTAAAGAACAGATATAGGAAATTACAAGCAAGAATGGCAACTTCAGATATTCAAATCTTCTAGCGAACACAGGACATACATATGGCACTATAAATGGACATTATAAAAATAGAGAAGGAAATTATTTGAATGAACATATGGGATAATATATATATGTATATATATATAAAACTAGTAAAGACACTTAGAACATGAACAACACATATATCAATACTTGTGACCCAATATTTGAAACACTACAGCAGTTGGCAGCATGTATGCACCAATCACCTACATAACACAGAACCAGTTCCACAACACAATCATAACATCCACACTGCAAATTTGATAGAAAATAGGTATACCAAAAAGTAGTTAGTTAGTTATTAGAGAGGGTGGGTTTCCCCATGCACTTAGACCTGTAGTGGTCCATTGTGCTTCCCTCTATGATTTCTACCAGCCTCTATATCCTACCGGTATTGGTGCTTACCATCAGTCCCACCCAGCCAGCGAGATTGGCTCTCTACTGGCTGAGAAGTATCCAATAATGCTTCCCCCATCTACCGGAGGTATTAGAGACTGCTGTTGGGCGGGAAACGTCCGCAATTTTGCTCAGTGACCTCCTCTGGAGATATGAGGTTCTTTTGCGTGCCATAAAGCTACAACACAGGACCCACGGCTTAAAAACCCTCCCGGAGGACTTGTTCCCTGAATTTTTCCGCCCTTAAAAATTCGACGACCTCCGCCGGGTGAACCCGCGTACTATGAGTCATGAGGTGGGAACGTTACCTCTAGACTACGGAGGCCGCTTACCAAAAAGTAAGTACACAATTAACTGCATTAACAATATACAACTTAAAGGTATCCCATGAAAAGAAAATACTAACAAATTTATCATTATGCTTTACAAAGGCAATATATGTGGCACAGGAGGAGGAATTACACTTATTTCATTTAAAGACATCGTAAATACGAACACTGACTGCAGTAGTATGGAAAGCACTGCAATTCCTCCAAATTTCAACACACATGATGATGGCTGAATAGGCTGAAACATGTAGTGCAGTGACAGATTTTAAGAGGATTTCATTTTAAATCCTGATATTGTTGCACGGTGGACAGTAAACACAACTGAAAAATAAATTCTAATACCAATGCAACAGGATGCTAAGATACAACATTATTAAAATGAGTCACACAATATGTAAATCCTATTTCAGACAAAAGAGGGAGAAGCTAGCGCACAGTCTATGCTAGCAACTGAAAATACTTCGAAGATTTCCAACACCTCAGATACAATGACTTGTAATCCAGCGAAAGTAAAGTGACATTTTGGAAGAATATATTGCCTCCATCTTCAGGGTTAAAGCAGACAGTAGAACTCTGCTTGCTGCCTGCATCATGCTCGTTTCTTGCAGGGCTTACTCTTCAGCCCTGAAAATGGTGTTGACATGTTCCTCTGACCACCGCTGATAGAACCTCAAATTCTTCATGTAAAAACATGGCTCATAAAATGCAGACAATATGGGTTAGGTTATATCCATTCTGTGTGGTATTCAGGGTTTCATAGCTGTTTGAAATTCAAAACTTCTGTACTGTCAGATGATTTACCTCTCTTAGTGCTAGTCAGTCCCATAACACTGTTCAGGGTGAGTGCTCATATTTCAATTGTTTTCATATTTTAAGTTATCATTTTATTCAAATAGGGACAAAACATCACAGGAAAGAATAAACTTACATGATTACTCCCCATTATTTTTGTTAAGAAAGTGGTTAATTTTATTTCCACAAAATGTCATTTATTCAGCTCTTATTTTATTACTCTGTACTCATTTCATAGCTCAGACACAAGGAATCTGACATCTGAGGTATCATGGCATTTAGCTGTCACACAGAGCACAAGTTAAATGAATTTCCAGCGACCAAATGACTCAAGCACAATCAAGTGAACAATGCTGACATTAAAAAAAGGACCACCTGCAATGACTTCTGGTAAAAACTACATTACTGTGTGAACATCAGATATTCTGACTTCCTTTTGAAGTCTGGATCAAAGCTCTGAATTCATATGCAAAAGAATGTTCCAGTGTATATAAGGCCTCTTGATCTGTGTTTCCTCTGTTGAATTTTGACTGAAGGAAGTTAACTCATCCGTAATGTTTCTGACTTACATTGTGAAGATACCTGGTTACAGACTTGTTAAAAAAACCACCTACAATGACGTTCTTTGTGCTGTTCAAGCTTTTCCAATCAAATGTCATTTTCATAACAAATTCATCCTACCATAGCCTTCTGGCTTCTCTGGCTACATGGTTAAAATGATCCAACAGCTGAATTTTAACAATGAGAGTAAGTAGTGACTTGTTTCTGGTTCTGATGGTGTTGCTGATAGTCTTGTTGAAACAGATGATCATAATTGAACATGATAGTACAAATGGAAACCATCAGAAGCAGACAATCTTAAACTAAAACTCTGTCAGGGCACCTCATATAAATCTGGTACACACAATGCCAAATGGATCTGGAACATTATCACCACTTGACAGACTTAAACCTTGAATAACCTAATACACATGCATGTCTCAAGTACCATTTACCTTGCATAATCTAACTACTATTCCCACATGACCTCACATGTCCTAAGGCTGGGGCCACACGAGCACACAAAATGTGTCCGTTGTAATGAACGCTGTGACATCCGTTGTAGAAATAAACAAGTGAGGTAAATGCTAAGCTTTCTTCTGGCTCCATTGCAGACAAAAACTACGCATTGCATTCTGCAACTGTGTGGTGTCCTCAGCAACGTCCGTCATAAAGTATGTTCGTTACAACGGACGTACTTCGTGCACTGGTATAGACGGGGCCTAAGATGTATATCATATTAGTACATTATGGTTACATACATAGCAGCCTATTTTAACAATGACTGTCAGAAATCCATGCAACTTTTACCTAGCATTCTGACCATATTATAATATATATAATTGTATATGTACACAGCGATCACTGAACAAATGCAATAATTCAATTACCAGAGAACAATATCAGGTTGTTTTGGTTAGGTGTGATCAGAAGACAAGATATAAGTAAATAATTTCGGTATGAGGCCTACATTTCTGTCAGGTAAGAACTATGCATAATGGACTACATGCAGTTTATGGTTTGCACGTTAATAAACTATAATGTGTGTAGCCAACAGCTTACTTTCATAACACACATCATTACAAAAACATAAATATGACGTTACTTTGATATCAACAATCCTTAGATATATTTATTTACCTGAATATAATCTATACAGCCAGATTCATCAAATCTGAATGAGAGATTCTGAATTACAGCAATTACACCATCTTCATCTTCACTTATAACTTCAAAGCGACATCTGTATTCAACAATACCTTGCCAATCATCAAAAGATCTAGTCTCCTTTATTATAACAGCAGATTCTGCTTTTTCTTTTAGTTTAATTTTTCGCTTTTTGCCAACTAGAGAACATATTCTGTCACTCGACAGTGCATCTGAAAAGAAACATGAATTATTTAACATTTAACTTGTGTAATAAATCACAAGTTTTCATAAGTTCGTTCAACTACAAACACACATGGTAAATATGTATACCCAGTCATGTTATCACAATTCGTGGTATAGTTCTAATTACAACACAATTCCCTATAAGCTATATACTCACAATGCTCATATGACAAGCAGACATTCAAGAAACAAAGCATAATAACGTTTCTAACAATCTTCGATGGAGACATATTGAATATTGTATACTCGATATCGCCACCTAGATCAGAGATTAATAAATCTAAGAGTACTGGGATTATTTCAATTTCAAGCATGTTTTAAATCACGGATCACTAGTGTATGTCACTCACGTATCGGATTCTTATCGTGGTCGTTTCGGCGAGGATGGCGTGGGTTGCGGTTAGAAAATTGCTTCCAGTTGAGATATTCACGTAGCCGGCAACTATATAATAAATAAGGACAACTTTAAATCTCCTCTTGGGGTCCATTATGCAACTGCAAATCGCATCACCATACATGAGTGCTGAGGTGAAACATGTGCTTCTTACGATATGAAACTGTAAGTTGCGTAGGCGTAAACACGGATCAGGGCATGAAGATGGGCTCTCCCTCATGGCGCTCATGGCTATGGTGCCGCCACGGCAAAGGACTGGGGGTTACTATACACACCGCTGGGCTAATAGAGAATATATACATACATACATTTCATTTCACAAGTCCAAACAAATCTACATGAAGGTCGTCATACAAAAATTTAAACAAAAACACAAATAACGAAATAATTAAAACTTGTTTATGTTATGCACCACATATTCAGAAACTGTATAAAAGGAATTATGTATTATGTATTATTATTATTATGGATAAAATTGTCCACGCTACAAAATGACGGATTGTGAATATAAAAGAAAACGCACCAGCAAGTTAATATGAACACAACACTGGCATCATCATTATCTACCATATGTCCACAGCTTATACTCCGTGGCTTCCGCAGATAGGCGCCCTCATAGTCCAATGCGCACGCGCAAATATAGATCATCGTATCCACGACGGCAAGCTCTCCACCGCCCTCTACGAAGTGTAGCACACAGGTATGGCAAACAAGTAATTAATACTTGCTAATAATGTTTGGATATACAAACGTTATAGAGCAGTAATATTTAAAGACGGACTTTCCATCCACCATACAACAGTCGATAAAATACTCTAAGAAACCAGCAACAGAGAACCGTAGACTCCTCGGTACATTCATCTGCCTATTCAATAGGCCTTTTTTAATCCATTTTAACCAATTACTCTTGACATACGCAACTTATTTCTTTTGTATTAACTATTTAATATTAATGTCTAATACTGTAAGTACCTTCACAATAGTATAGTAAGAACCTATGTACGAACAATATATATACTGGTAGAATAATGTTGGATCTACCTTCTGATGGTGGCCTGTAATGGTCGATACATGTAAAGGCAGAACTTTTTTATGTATATTAAAATAGTTTCCTTTAAGCAGAGCAGTAATTTGGTGTTGGCCTTCGTCAGCACATTCATTTTTGGTCTCGGGTTCCGTCGGGACACATGACAATACTTTCGTCCGTTCCAAGACCACTTATATTTGTGCTTTGAAATGGAGTCTCCTCTTCGACGGGATGAGGGGTCCGGCCACTACTGTCGACTATGCTGTACTTGATGGACCTTTATTAGTTACACAGGATGTTTCACGACTTTAGGGCATAACTGCAGGAGGTGATTTCCTAGGTCTTTATAATCAAAAAAGTTCATATAAACATGTGTCCGATTTTGGACGGTTACGGAGTTATGACCGTTTTAAACTCAGAATAGAAGGTAACGATTACTGACAATAAACGGAACAAAATAATAAACCAGCATAATGCATGATACATTTAAAGTATCAATGTAAAGTTAACTTCGTGAAATTACCTTTAATTTGAATTTATTGGTGCTTAAAGCTGATTTTCGAAAATGCCACCGCCGGCCGCAACACAGGCTGCCNGAAACACCCTGTATATGTGTTTCGCGTACGCGATTGACCTTGACTACGTTGCCTTGGAAATGAAATTGACTGCTGCTCGGTAGACCACTGTTGGTTACTCCATACCGAGCAACAGCGAAATTCGTCAGACATTTCACTTCAAATCCCTAGTGTGCGTGCACTTATTTTCCTTAATATAAGACCTATGCAGTTTTATTTTTGGATGTGGCTCCACAACTTTTTGAAATTTTATCGAAATAGAGCCTTTTTCGAAAGGATAGTCATTTTGTTTTGGGGGACCAAGGATTCTATTTTTGGAGCCAGGACATTCATGCATGATTTCAGATTCTCACAGTAGTGGTTACGAAGAGTTCTGTCTTCTGGGATATGACAACATGTAATTGGTTGAAAGTAAGCCGACGTTTCGGAGAAATATAGTTTCTGCCTGCTTCATGATGGTTTCTTGCTTGGTTTATTTGTCGATTCTGAAGATGGGGGCGACATATTCCTGCGAAACGTCGGTTGACTTTAAACGGGCCACACGACGTTATAACCCAGAAGATATTAATCTTTAGAATTTTAATGTTCACCGGGCATAGACGTGTGGCGAATAAGCTCTTAAATACCGAATACGAATAAAATGTCACATGTTTCAGGCGCCTGTGGGGTGCATATCAATAAATACATACAGATGAATAGACATGCGGCGTTTCAAAAACAAATTTTCGTATGTTGGTGGTGTGAGAACGGTGTAAATCGGTCTATGTCGCGAAGATTTCTTTCACTCATATGTATGACATATTTATATGAGTACATAAACACGCACAACATTCGGATTTATGTCACGACTATTACTCATTAATTATTGATTTATGATAAAAGGAAAAAAAAAGTGCCCCGGGTGAGGATCGAACTCACGACCTTAAGATTATGAGACTTACGCGCTGCCTACTGCGCTACCGAGGCCACGGTTTGTTATACATTGTAATACATCTTTATAAATGTAAAATGAACGTAACCCTGCCTTTAAATCTTTGTCAAGAGATTCTAATTTTTTTAATTCGTATTCATCGTAGGCATTATCCATTTATTATTATTATTATTATTATTATTATGACACTCCATTCGTTGTTTTACAGTGTATGAGCTACCACTTCCATTAATCCAGGAAGCCATGGAGGTGAAACGAAATTAGAAATGTCACCATCAAGTGACTACAGGTTTTGCCTATCAATGGTAACTGAAGCAATACACTGCAGAATTCATCGACATAATCGCCGATGTGTACGGTAATCCCTCTCATCACGGGGAGAATGCACATAATGTAAATATCTGCTAACACTGGTAAAGCCAACCCTGCGTAACTCAATATTATTTGAGGGCAGCATATCGGCCGTGATCGCCGTGATCAACCCCTCGAAACCCTCTTGTTTTTGATGGGCAACATGGTCCCCATGGTCGCCATGACACCACAGTAAACTGCTGCTGCCATCTCTACGCATTCGTCACTAACTAAATGCAAAAATGGCCGCCAGAGCTGAGAGCACAAACGGTAAGAAGGTATGCTAACATATCGCCTCCTTCCGGGTGCTCCTCTCTCCCCACCCCCCGTCTTTGAAGGCGTTTTTCGCAAGAATAGCAATAAATAATTTTGCAACCAGATCTCTTGCACTGCAGAGGTTCTACCCCCCCCCCCCTTTGTTAACTGTGTTCCGTAAGCACAATAGACCACTGTAGGTCGCGGTGCAACGGCCGAGAAGGCCTACCCATCATACATTCATACAACTGTGTTCCGTAACACTCACCCGAATCTTTTGGGAGGGATATGACTGAAGTGATATTAAACCTAGTTCCCCCTTAAAAAAAGAAAAATAACGTAGTAAGAACATCTGCAGTACATGAGATCAGGTTGCAAATTATTTATCTGGAGAAAGTTTCGCACCAGTACCTCGAAAGTCATAACCTTTATTTGATATCACACATCTCTTTATCCAAATGCACTGGACATTGTGAACTGTAACATACATGGAATAATTGTATTTAGGAAAGCTGAAGGTGGAAAAGTTTGAAAGAAAATTCAGTTTTCATCAGAGACACCTATATTAAACCTCATAATTTGCTCACAACTTACACTTGGAAGCCACACAGAACATATTTTTTCGGTTACATTTAAGTATTATAAATCATGCATAGCAAGCAACATTACTCAAGTACCTGTGAGAGTCAGTTACCTGTCATTCAATACCAGAGCGACAGTAATGCCAGCTGAAAATATACTTATAATTAACATGAGAACCTTCGTTACGTAATTATTATTACCAAATGTTTACCCCTGTGGGGGTACTAAGACGATGGCTCAATAGTATAAGGCCTCTGACATCATTATCAGCAACGGTCTATCATTTATCATCCAGTTCCAGTATCACGGCTGACGAGATATTTTCAACAAACACGACATCTTTCGTTTCGAAATTATTGCAGTCCAATAAATTACTAGGTCGATTACTAAAATGATGAATCATTAATCCAAGCCATCTGATATCATAATCTTCAACAGTGAATAGCTACCGTTGCCATTACCCAGTAGAAAAGCGAAATATGTAAACGCTAGGCTATAGGGCCAAAGCTGCCTAGGCCCGATATACATTAACCGCAAGAGTGGACTATGTCCATTTGCACTGAGTGCAAGTGCGGACTAAGTCTCTTACAATATTGAATATAAAATCTATCATCTAATTCCAGTACCGCAGTAATACCAGATGAGAAGATAGTTTTAGTAAAGACGACATATTTCGTTTCTTAATTATTACAGTTCAATTAATTTCAAAGGTCGGTACCAAAGCAGTGAATCATTAATCTTAAGTCCTCTGACATCATAAACTGCAAGAGCGGAAAGGTTCCACTGTAAATTCCCAGAACAAAACGGAAATATATAAACGCGATGCTATAGGGCAAGAGCAGACTAAATCTACTATACGTTGGAGGACCGAGGGGTCGGTGTTGGAGTCCCTGTAGGGTCAAGAATTTTCTGTTCCCCACGTCGTCCAGACCGGCTCTGGGGCCCACCCACCTTCCTGTCCAATGGGTACCGGCTCTTTCCGAGGAGGTAAAGCGGCCGGGGCTTGAAGCTGACCACTCACCTCCAGCTAGTACCGAGGTCAAGACAATGTGGATCTATACATCCACTCCTCCATACGCCTTCGTGGCGTAGTGCTCAACTAGTTACGCACAGGGATAACTTTACCTTTTTAGTTGCCATAACAATGTAAAGCTTTGTATGGTATATCGTGCCATAGACCTACCGCAAGGAACACACATACCCGCATAAGCACAGATACAATCACGCATATGTGTGTACGAGTATACTTCCCTGTAATGCTGTAATTGCAATGCTTAGACCGCTTAGATAGCATACCCAGTGTATTTCGCCGCGCTGTGGGAAACTTCTCAGTGTACTCCTGCGCATTGTGATTCATATTCGATAACCCAACCAGCAATCTGGCCTCGATGAATCAATGCCCATGTTTCCCGAAGCGGGAGCCGCCCACTCATAGGAAGCAGTGAAACATAATTCCGGAAGCCCCCGAAAATGCTAATAATCTGATTATCATACATATAAATTAACAAGAAAAGGCTGTACCAAATTTCAAATACACAACATAATATGAAAGATACTTTATAGCTATAATTAGGGTTCATAATGTTGAATTTAGACACCCTGTTACATTAATATATTTTGTTTGTATACATACGTATATTTCTGTCTCAAATGCAACTTATTATCTTATTCCACTTCTCTATCACTACATGTTTCGACCGTACATGACCATCATCAGGTGTTTTCTATCTTGCCAAAACAGTTTCATTGTGTGCTAAAATTATATATTACGTGTAGACGTGATTTTGTTATTAATTAAAAAATAAAATTTGAATTATGATCGGAGTTGAAAATTAAAATTAAAACGTCTTAATGTTATTTTTCGTTCTAGTCTCCAGCTGTTCATTGGAAGATATTTATTTAGCGGCCTCCGTAGTCTAGGAGTAACGTTCACACCTCGTGACTAAAGGTACACGGGTTCAAACCCGGCGGAGGTGGTGGAATTTTTAAGGGCGGAAAAATTCAGGGAACAAGTCCTCCGGGAGGGACTTTAAGCCGTGGGTCCCATGTCGTAGCTTTACGGCAAGTAAAAGAACATCATGTCCCAAGGGGACCTCTGAGCGAAATTCAGGACATTTCCCGCCCAACATGGAGATACCCCTGAGCCAGTAGAGGCCGAACTCGCTGGCTGAGTTGGGACTGATGACACGCACCAGTACCGGTAGGGTATAGAGACTGATAGAATATCACAGGGGGACGCACAATGGACCAATATCTGGTCTAAGTGCATGGGGAAACCCACCCTCTCCAATAACAACAACAAGATATTTATTTCAGAATATATTTGTCGATATGGGATTTGTTACGTTGTATTATATAATTTTTTGTTAGTTTGTAAGTTTTATAGTTGTATTCGCGTGTGTATAGTATGTGGATGTGGTGGTATTACTAGCTAAAACTCTTTAATGTATAAGGAATATCGTATTATACATTATTTGTTAAGTTTTGTTTTTATGCGTCAGTTTGTTTTGTTCACATAACCTAACGTTCCTCCACATGTTAACATGCTTGTTCGTGTTAAACATGAGCACAGGGAAGCGTACCACGTTCACGCAATGTAATGAACACCTAGTGAAACACTCTACGATCCGGAATTCTGAGCATACGAAACCGTCAACGATATTCTTGAACAGCATCAGTGGCACTACCATCGCAGAACGCACAACATATCAACATATTCGTCATTTGCGAAGATGTGCAGCGTTTATCACGACGCTCTTGCAATGTTACGATTAACAGTCACAGACACAGCGATCACGTTGATCACGGAAATCACGGGTGCGTTGCAAATGCCAGTTAGCTTGATGTGCCCAACAAAGTAGAGATGGCAGCAACAGTATGCGCAGGACGCAACTACGCATGTTTAAATCTATTCTGGCAGGTTTATAATCCCCTTTTCCCCTTAACGGTCATATCCGGTCTTCACCTTCACGCCGTTTCACACTCTTCAGACAGTGGCGCAGTAAGGCGGGAGGGAAGGGCAATACTGGGCTACAAATACAAACTACTGTACAGTGAAACAGCTCTATCTCAGAAACCGTTCGAAATAGAGTACATGTAAATATACAAGTATAAGCTGTTTTGCTTAGAATGACCGATACTATGATCCCCCAGAATATTGCCCTTTCCACCAGGGATACCTGTGTAGAGGGATGTGAGATTATTGTTAAAGTTGAGGACCATAGTCCTAGTTCAGTTTGAAGTACAATCAAGGGCCAGGCCGAATTATATCGAGAACCAAGTGTGATTTCGTGTTATCTCCCTGAAAGATAAGATAGAGTTGTGAGAAAGGGCGAATTCACAAGATGGCCAAAGAAATGTGTAGCTCAGACAACTCTGGAAATATTGAACGTATGGGCTCCGATTGTGAAACGAAATAAATTCCGTGCATTCAGAATAAAGCAAGACAGAATATTTGCTTTCGTGCCGAATACCGCAAGGACTCCGAAGCAAGTGACCTCTTACATAAATGAATATGGGAAACGGATTTATGGTTCACCGTGTTTTCTTGAAATGTTCATCTTGTCTTTCTTGCCGCTTCATACAGAGTTTATGGCTGCTCCTTTAGTGACAGAATGGCGTATTCGGCACGATGTTTGAAGTTTGTTGTCCTTACATTTACTGTCTTATTCGCGGTAAGTGGTGAGTTTAAATTTACTGGTAAGTTAATTCGAGTGTGAACCTCGAAAAACAACCGTTAAATTTCTTTCGGAGTTACCTTTGTGACTGCGGAAATAAGAGTAACAGTTAAGCTCTGTATGCAGCGATTGAGAATGCGAAGTGAACAACATATGCGTGATTGTATTTGTGCTTATGCGGGTATGTGTGTTCCTTGCGGTAGGTCTATGGCAGTTTTAACGTTTATGTGGCTATGATAGTATGTGGACCTTTCAACACATCACGTTGCTCTGATAATTGTGTGTGAATTCTAGAGCTTTACATTGTTATGGCAACTAAAAAGGTAAAGTTATCCCTGTGCGTAACTAGTTGAGCACTACGCCACGAAGGCGTATGGAGGAGTGGATGTATAGATCCACATTGTCTTGACCTCGGTACTAGCTGGAGGTGAGTGGTCAGCTTCAAGCTCTCGCCGCTTTACCTCCTGGGAAAGAGACGCCGGTACACATTGGACAGGAAGGTGGGTGGGCCCCAGAGCCGGTCTGGACGACGTCGGGAACAGAAAATTCTTGACCCTACAGGGACTCGAACTCCGACCCCCGGTTGTCCAACCCGTAGCCAGCCGCTATACGGACTACGCTATCCCGGCTCCTTGGTATGGCAACTACGTATAAAATTTATTAAAATGAAGGGATATCGTGATGTGCTGTAAATTAATATCGCGGTCCTATATTCCTACCACGAAAAGAAATTTGAGGCTTTAATTGAATTTGAGATGAAAAACGAAATCGCACGGTTTGTTTGTTTCTGAAGTATAGTTTTTTTGGGGGAGGGCGGGGAAGGCACGGACTCTTCCTATCGCTTGTTACAGAGTCAGACGCTCCCCCCCCCTCCCTTTTCCAAGCAAGTCATTCCTAAGATGCAGTGCTCTCTCTGCAACGCTTACTGCATTAACCGAGGCTAAACTAGTCCTTGGGCCGGTCACGGTAGCCGAGCGGTCTAAGNAAAAAAAAAAAAAACTAGTCCTTGGAAAGAGCTTCTCGGTTAACTTATATTTAAGCGGCCTCGTAGTCTAGAGGTAACGTTCCCACCTCATGACTCGTAGTACTCGGGTTCAAATACCCGGCGGAGATCGTCGAATTTTTAAGGGCGGAAAAAATTCAGGGAACAAGTCCTCCGGGAGGGACCTTAAGCCGTGGGTCCCGTGTTGTAGCTTTACGGCACGTAAAAGAACGTCATACCTCCAAAGGAGGTCACTGAGCCGTTTGCCGCCCAACAGCAGTCACTAATACCTCCGGTAGATGGGGGAAGCATTATAGATACTTCTCAGCCAGTAGAGCCGGTCTCGCTGGCTGGGCGGGACTGATGGTAAGGACCAATACCGGTAGGATATAGAGGCTGGCAGAAATCATAGAGGGAAGCACAATGGACCACTACAGGTCTAAGTGCATGGGAAAACCCACCCTCTCTAATAACTAACTAACTTATATTTGTGTGTCTGTAAAGTTGGCTACCTAGAGTAAAAGTATACCGTCCACGTCTCTCTACATGTTTGCTTCCGAAACTATTATTTTATTAGTTGCACTTCGCCTGCCGAACATCAATCTGGCACTTATTTAATTATCACAATTAAACGTTCACATGATTGTGACTGTTGAACGTAGAAGTGTGGAGTGTGATGTAATGGAGTGTCCTACCAACCGCGTCGTCAGTGTTCTCCAGTGTTCTCCAGTGTTCTCGCCAACGAGAACAGCGGTTGAAATGAACCTGGTAGGGAGGACCTGCCCAAAATCTCAAGTCAAGAAAGAATTTCTGATTGGGTCCGAACTCTTCCCCCCCCCCATTCAAAAATATACAGGGTGTTTCACGACTTTAGGGTATAACTGCAGGAGGTGATTTCCTACGTCTTTGTGATCAAAAAAGTTCATATAAACATGTGTCCGATTTTGGACGGTTACGGAGTTATGACCCTTTTTTTTTTCATTCCCATACACGCCCTCGTGTGAACCGCGTGTGTCAGCTGACGGGTCGCTATTTTTAGCCAGCTACAGGCATAGCGTTCTCGTTATCTCGACACTTGAGAGCTACCTAAGGTGGGGTGGGTTGGTATGTCCGGCGCGGTTCACAACCGAGCGGCAGCCTGTGTTGCGGCCGGCGGTGGCATTTTCGAAAATCAGCTTTAAGCACCAATAAATTTAAATTAAAGGTAATTTCACGAAGTTAACTTTACATTCATACTTTAAATGTATCATGTATTATGCTGGTTTATTATTTTGTTCCGTTTATTGTCAGTAATCGTTACCTTCTATTCTGAGTTTAAAACGGTCATAACTCCGTAACCGTCCAAAATCGGACACATGTTTATATGAACTTTTTTGATCACAAAGACGTAGGAAATCACCTCCTGCAGTTATACCCTAAAGTCGTGAAACACCCTGTATATATAGTATATAATAACGAACTGTCAATATAAACGAGCGGATGTACATTTTTATTAGCGGAACGAGTCACCTTGGTGCATCCACTCAGATGTTCTGTTGCATGAACCACAGGGATAATCCCAGGAAACCTCGTAGATTCTTGTTCGTGACTTTAAATCGTAAAAAGCGATCTAATTTACGAAGAACGTGCGAAAAAGTGAATCCAAGGACATCACTACATGGAATACTTTGCTGCGCCCGTCTAAAATGACACTTGTGTGCATTGCTAAACGATAGAGCCTTGCCAAAGCTGGATTTTATAATCATTCATATACACTATCGCGTGCCCGGAATTCGAACTCGGTTTGCCCTGCTACAGTATTTACCTGCATCAGTGAAAGTTTAATTTATGAATGTCCAACGTTGCTTGCTTAATGAGGTGCCCAAAACAGCACAGAACGTGTTTGGAAAACATGCGTATTATATAAGTGTACATTTCGACTTGCGTTGTTGTAACGACAGGGTAGGTAAAGCTAAAAGTATCAGTATGACATTTTCTGCTTGAGAAATCAGAGCATTTTTGTCTGTAAATAAACTAATTTATAATGTAAATGTGCAACTGTGAGGGATTTTCCTGGTTCGTATAACAATAACTGTAAGAAGTAATTAAATCAACAGGTGTCCGGAGTGGTGACGGTGGTGTTCAGTGTCGCCAACTTAGTGCACTTCTACGCACACAACCGCTTTGTGCCCAGTTGTGTAACTGTTCCCGTACTGCTGCTTGCATTGGCTGGCCTGGCGGCGTGTCTTGTAGCAGCAGTTGGCTGGTGTGGAGCCATGGCGGGAAACACCTGCCGTCTGCGTGCAGTACGTGAAGCAATACTACAGCAAAAATTGAAACACATATTTACCTAAGTCACACACATCTAAAAATTAGTCTGCAATAAGATCCATGTACGGCAGAATACAGTATACTGCATGTTTACTTAAAGATTACATTCCTGAACAATGGCATATGCAATGAAACCTCTTTCCTCTGCTTCTGCTTCTGCTTTTCATCTTTATCTTCTCCATCATCATCATCATCATCATCACCATCACCTCAAACATCATCATTATATATTGTCGCGTGTAGCAGTGTCTAACACGCAGGTTTGGATCGGTAATTGGATTTATTAACAACCTATTGGTCGTAACTATAACTACATTTTTTAATTCGCTTAGTGGGTTGTGGAGTCCAGCTGGGTCCACTCTGCACGGCGGCCACTGATTGGCCTATTGTACCTGCCTCGGATGAATATGATGACGGAGAATTTGGTGCAATGAAGATTGGCAGGGGAAACCGAAGTACTCGAAGAAAATCCACCTCAACACCACTTTGTCCACCACAAACCCCACTTGACCAGACCCGAGATCGAACCCGGGCCGCCGCGGTGGGAAGCCAGCGACCAACCGCTTGAGCTATGGCGCGGCCTAACTACAAATAATTATTACACTATTACTGCTTTACACGATGTATACAATCACTCCACACTAAACTCTTCAGTCTATCTGCACTAGTCTTCACGGTTTTTTTAACACGGGAACTATAACAGTCTCACTGAATCACACATTCCAAGTATTAGACATAAATAAAATCTTCTGATCATTCATTAAATCTTCACAGGCTTGTTACTCACTCGTAACTGCCCTGAACTGACTTCTCTTATACGCACTCTGCACAGACCACGCACAGAAAACACAGTTCTATTGTTGCATAGCGTAGAACACACAGAGAACAAGTCACATGATATCTCGTCCGTCCATTGGCACGCTGACTGTCGCCTAGCAATGAACTATAAACATTCGTCCCTTTGTTGCGTAATGGACCGTGTTTACAGAGCTGTTTGCCTGGCAACGCATTAATCAAATCCGTTACAATATAATTATTATCGACTTCTTCTTACATCACGGTCGAATAGTAAGCATCTGCACTTTGTATTCGTGAAGTTCCGGTTCGAATCTCGGTTTTCCAGACCGGAATGGGCATAACCTATAATGTTCAAAAATGAGGTTGAAACCGAGTAACCAGTCTTCTTCATGGTTTCGTCGAGGTGAGTTAAGAAAACAAGATGTTCAAGAGACAACTACTGACTTAATGAATTGCCGATTAAGGTCATTTTACATTTTCATTTTTCTTATTTTGCATCAGTTTCTTGATCTTTTTTTAATGGTTATCCCAACTGAATTGAGCCTGTCGTAGTTTAACACTTACTCCTATTCGTGATGACAGCTTTAATTGCTGATCATTACTTAATGGTTATCTTAAATTTAGTTGAATTTAAGCGTGTCTGGGCTTAGAGGTAGCTTCTTTCTTTGCAGACAAATTTCGCCGTCCTCTTTACGTGTCAAGTTTCCATCCTCACGCCCCAATGTATGGAAAATTTGCACTGCCCTCTTCTTTATGTGGACAGTTACATAACTTTGTGTTTGAGACTATCTTCTCTTTGGTTTGCTAGTTTTCAGTGTTCTTGATTGTGGTCATCATGAGTGAATTTGGAGCCTCGATATATGCTCTGATGTCTCGAACCGATTTCAAAGCCGACGTGACAAAAGCCATGGAGGAATCCTTCTCCAATTACACAAATGATAAAGCTGTCGCGGAGGACTGGAAGTCATTGCAAAAGGAGGTAACAATTGTACCATTATAAAACAATTGCCTTTAATCAACTGTCAATATATTTCATAAACAACCAATGCCATAAATAACTTCTGTAAGTCACATGCCTGCTTAGCTGCCCATGTGTTATATTCGATTGCTTTGCGATGACAAATGAAGTGCTGACACAGTCATCCCCCGCTAATCGACGATTCGATACGACGATGATCGTCGTAACCGGGCCAGTCGACGATTGCCAATGCGCGCGCACACTGGTATATTTATAGGTGGGACGGTCGATTTTGGCCGGTGGATCTCTGATGCGTAGTGGTCTGACGAATGTCGGCGAGCCTAGATTGGTGGGCTTGCGCAGTGACACTTAGTTGCCACAGTAAGAAGGTAGATGTTGAGCGCGTAGGATCGCTGTTATTAGTAGATACTATGTGCTTTTGCCACGTTCCAGTTGCCAGTTGCCAGTGCCAGCCTACGAATATTCTCTTTGCAGACGAAGCAAGTTCGTAGCATAGACTCGCTCTCATGCGCTAACAGTGAAGGACACCGGCCAAAAAGCTGTCAGGCCAGCCAGTCATTCTGGTAGTGCAATAGTGCAATCCTATTAGTATTCACTGTTTTTCATCATTTTTGCAAGTTCAAAAAATTAGCGAAATTATGTACCGTACAGTGATAGCAAAGCACATGCTAAAACTGAGTTCGCTAACCGACGAATCGCTAATCGACGACCTTTCATGGAACCAATTAACGTCGATTAATGGGAGATGATTGTACTGTTACGTCATATGATATATGCTAGGATGAATACGAATGGTGAACGAAAGGAATGGAGTCAGAACCACGAGGACATCGACCTGGACCTAGTTACAGCGCATGTACTTATACATGACTGTACATATAATGTACATGTACAAGCAACAAAATGTTTACAACTGCATAATACAAAATATTAAAACATTTCAGAACTTGTTCCTGTTGACAAAGGCTAGAGATAATAACAAAGTTTATCACTTAAACTCTTTGATAGGTCTATGTACACGTATTAACAAAATTTGCTAAGACTGGAAATAAACAGTTCTAAATATAATACAGCTGACACCTCCTTCGACCTTGAAGATGTATGAATGTAATGGGTGGGCCATAAAAACCGCTCCCCCACCGCACTGCGACCTTCAATGATCTATTGTGCTTCCCCTTGGATTAGCCCTTTATTAATCCTACACATTTAATAAAGTGTAGAGCCCTGCTTATGGGGGAGTCATAAAAGTCACTTGGTTCCATAAAAAACTGACCCAAGTTACGAAATCTTAAATAAGCTATGGCCTCACAATCACACAGGGTGTGTGCGATTGATTCGTTTTCCTGTAGGCACCTTTCACAAGTTGGGTTATCCGTCAGTCCCAACTTGAAAAGGTGTCCTTTCAGGTGGCAGTGTCCGGCAAATAATCCTACCACCCATCTTAGTTGAGACCCTGCAGATGGTGGCCACATGTTCCTCTGAAACTTTCAACGGAGTTTTTGGTATTATGCCGGTCACGGTGACCGCGCAGTCTAAAGCATGAACTGTCTTCGATCTCTCGGACACTGGGATCGTGGGTTCGAATCCCACTCGAGTCGAGGATGTCTGTGTCTGTGTTTATTCTATGTTTGTGTTGTCCTGTGTGTCCTGTACGAAACTGAAGAAGAGGCCAGGGCCCAACAAAGGGCTGTAGAGACATTGATAACTGAATGAATACGGTAGCATATCCCAGAATTCCAGTCGGTAGCGTAGCACAGTATACTGACTGAGGTATCCCGGTCTTCTGCATTGCATTGAGGCTTGGTGTAAAGTAATTTGCTGTTGCAGCTGGAGTGCTGCGGAGTTGATGGACCTAATAACTACCGTAGTCTTGGGATGATGGATTGGTCATGCTGCCTGGCGGGAACCCGTCACGAGGGGACGTGTCACGGGGTGAATCAACGAGGATGTCTTGAGTCCTTGACGCACGAGATTCAGCGCCGGCTACTGTGGTTGTCTCTGCTAGGCATCGCTGCAGCCATCGGTCAAGTAAATACATTCAATAACGTAAACTTATCCACACGTCTACGTGCCCCTTCTTTGTGCTCTGGAGGTCCCGGATTTGATTCTCAGCATGGAAGCCGCCTGTCGTAACTGAGGTTTTACTAATTTTCCACAGTCTTTCCAAGAAAATGCCTTAAAATAGTGAACGACCGCCTCCACATTCACAATCCTCCCTTGACGCTATTTAATCTAAGGAGATGAAGAACTGAATGCGCTACACAACAAATGGAAGCACAATATTCTGAAGACGTACAGAGGTCGTGAGACTCTGTGGTATAGTGGTCAGAGTTCCTGGCTACAGATCCAGAGGTCCCGGGTTCGATTCCCGGCACTACCAGATTTTCTGAGAAGCAGTGGATCTGGAACGGAGTCCACTCAGCCTCGTGAGGATAAGTGAGGAGTTACTTGACTGGAAAAGTAGCGGCTCTGATCTAGAAAACCGAGATAAACAGCCGTGGGGCCACGCGATACCTTCTATCCGCAAAAGGTGGCACTAACTTCGCCGACAAACGGCGATCGCTCGGTCGTTATAGTTCGATTGCGGAATAAAGCCACGGAGGTTTTTTTTTTTTGTTTACGGAGGTCATGGAGACATCGCAACAAACATTCTCAGATTTCGAAGCTGGATAGAGATCAGTGGTCAGCTTCACGCTCCGGCCGCTTTGCACCAGAGATTCCAGCATCCAGTGCCTAGTGTGGCCCAGGCATAATGTGAACAAGGTGATAAAGAGAAAATTCTTGCCGGGAATCGAACCTCAGCATTCTAGCCTGTAAACAGTCACTTCATTGCCGAACTATCTGTATCACCTACTCATCCAGTGTTTTTGACCTGGTTTCGTGGCTCAGAATTAGTCGTCGTGTTGGTGTCTGCCTTTCTTCGGGTCCCGTATTAACTTTCAAAGCGATTTGTTTTCAGAGTGTAAATTGTTTATTATAATTTCCATGGTGCACTCTTGGGTTGCTGATTGGGAACAAGTGGAGTTAACAGATCTTTACTGAAAAAGCTTTCTGTTCCTAATATAACGAGAAGAGCAGTTAACGTGAGGTGACTAACCCGTTATTACGGAAGTTTTCGAAAATAATTTGCTGAAAATGCATCGAAACCAGCAGCGAATTAAGGGAGGACCTTATATGGCTACAGAGAACAAGGAACGGTGGACTAGATATGTAAGTTGGACGTGAGATACAAGAAAAGCTTACAGATCTTTCTTCATGTGAACATCTGGGTATTAACTTCTAATATCGAGGTGGAAGTATGGACCTATTATTAACCCTTTTAAATTTAAAGATCAGGTATTATAGGCCATGCAAAAATTGTCTGACTGTATCATGCAGAATTTGCCTAGTGGTTTCAGTCAGTCACTGGCTAGGAATGACTTAAATCTGATCTAAGAAAGAAACAGATTATGAAGATGAGCTGTACATCAGGTTCAGAGTCACCTGCAGAATTCTGTCTGAACGTACTGAAATCTGACCAGACACGTAGTCTACAAACTTGTTTTTGTGATGATACTTAACGATGCTAGTTAAAACGTAGATGTTAAATAACGTCAAATTAGATGATAATACGTCATAAATGATAAGAGATTGAAATGAGGATTATTTCTAAGATTTATCCTAGAATTCGCTTGGAAAGAATTTTGACCACAAACAACTTTGGGCAGGAGAGACGGTAACACGGCGGAAATTCGAGCTGGGTACATCCTAAACACAATTACTGGGTTTTTGGACTTTGTCCATCGACAGGTATTCTAAAAACTAAAGAACACCACGTTTCGGAAACTGGATCTGTTTCCATCTTCATGTGAAGCTGGAAACACCAACTCTGTTGGAGCCCTTAGAAAGCGTTCACCTCAGTCACAGGACAAACTATGTTGGTATAACCATCCTTCCATCCATTTCCTGTTGCTCCCACTTTGAGCGTAGAACGAAGCCTAAGGACCAGTAAAATCTCTGAAAAAATTCTACCGACCACTATTTTTTTTATTGCTAGTGGAGTGGGACTAAGTCCCTTGTACTGCTGCCACTTCTGGCATATTCTACCAGCCCTAGATGATAGGTGAGGGTGATTGTGGAGCAATTGGTGGAATGAAGATTGGCAGGGGAAACCGAAGTACTCGGAGAAAACCTGCCCCAGCGCCACTTTGTCCACCACAAATCCCACTTGACCAGACCCGGGATTGAACCTGGGCCGCGGCGGTGGGAAGCCAGCGACTAACAGCTTGAGCTATGGCCCTGCCATACGGACCACTAAGTTATGTAGGCCTATTTTTATAAACCTGCGTGGTATTACCAACATTTGGGACATACTGTGCCTTTTATAAAAGTAAGTAAAGTAAAGGTATCCCTGTAACAGGCCGTGGAGGCTCATAGTGTTGTGAGATGTTGAGGTTCCCACATTTTCTAGACAATCGGCTCATAGATGGCTGTGAGGATGTCAGCCCTACGCGCCGGCCGCCCTTCCCCAAGAATATTCCTGGTACTCGTTTCTGTCAGAGGCTGAGTCGACCTCAGGGCCATAGTGCAGCTGGAAGGATTAGGTCAATTGAAAATATCCAATGACCTCATCGGGACTTGAACCCGCGACCTTCCGGTTTGTAGCATAGTGTCCCTTACTGCGCCATTTATAATATAATAAATCTAAAAGCATGTTCTGAATACGTATGGAAACATAATTAATTAAATTTGAAGTAAACTATTAAAAGTGAATCAACATTGAACAGAGTTTTAATCTTTATTACACAAATAAAGACTATGATATAATCATGTTACTACTTACTTGTAATGAGATTGTTGAGCTCGTCGGCCCTTACAGAGTCCCTGGATATCTGGCTCAATATCGGTCAACTTCAGTCGAATCTCGGGACCGACACAGAGGATTCTGCGTTTTGTGTTTAATTGTAGGGGACATGGAAAACCTTTCTCACAAAGATTTATATTGCTGAAAACTGCACGACGATTTTCAGTGCTTCATCAGATAATTCGGGAAATTCACTTCTCACTGAAGGCGAGAATCAGAATCGGACCAAACCGAGATAATGGAATTGCATTTTGGGCCCAGTGTCACTTGAAGCTCAATTAACTGTTCTTTTTTCGTTAACGAAAGGTCGTTCCCGTGATTGTAAGCCTGAAATGGATCGCGAACCCACAGAAATTTATCATAAAACTTATTCGGAAAATATGTTTCAAATTTCTGTCTTACAGTTTTGAGGTGGTCACAAACTCTTTCCAGAAAATCAGAATCAACAGAAATATCATTTTCCACTAAAAAGGATTCCAATTTGGAAAAGGTGCAAATTGTCTGTCTTTTTACATAACTAATCAATAACACCAGTTTTTTCCTTGGATGCCTTTATTTTGTCGTAGGCATCAAGAACAGTTAAAGGATTTCCTTGAAGGGAAAGATTTGGTTCGTTTAATTTAGGAAAATTTTCTGAAAGATAGGATAGTGTTAATAACCAAGCTTCGTCAACAAGAAGTGATGCAAAATCAGAATTACGTTTATTTTAAAACAATAAAACTTCGTGTCTTAATTGAAATAACCTTGTTAGTACTTTACCCCTGGAAATCCAGCGAATTTCAGAATGAAGCAAAAGTTGTGTATATTTACTGCCCATTTCATCGCAGAGTACGGAAAGTAACCTGCTATTTAACGGTCGAGCCTTAGTAAAATTAACTAGTTTTACAGCGTTGTCTAACGTAGTTTTAAATTCTGGTGACATCCCTTTGGAGACCAACGCTTCCTATGTATGAAACAATGTACCCAGTTCATATCCGGAGCTTCTTCCTTGACCCTAGAAACAACCCCACTATGCCTACCTGTAAGGGGGCGAGCTCCATCCGAACAGAAGCCCACACATTTTTCCCAGAAACAGCCCCACTATGCCTGCCTGTAAGGGCGCGAGCTCCATCCGAACAGAAGCCCACACATTTTTCCCAGAAACAGCCCCGCTATGCCTGCCTGTAAGGGCGCGAGCTCCATCCGAACAGAAGCCCACACATTTTTCCCAGAAACAGCCCCGCTATGCCTGCCTGTAAGGGCGCGAGCTCCATCCGAACAGAAGCCCACACATTTTTCCCAGAAACAGCCCCGCTATGCCTGCCTGTAAGGGCGCGAGCTCCATCCGAACAGAAGCCCACACATTTTTCCCAGAAACAGCCCCGCTATGCCTGCCTGTAAGGGCGCGAGCTCCATCCGAACAGAAGCCCACACATTTTTCCCAGAAACAGCCCCGCTATGCCTGCCTGTAAGGGCGCGAGCTCCATCCGAACAGAAGCCCACACATTTTTCCCAGAAACAGCCCCGCTATGCCTGCCTGTAAGGGCGCGAGCTCCATCCGAACAGAAGCCCACACATTTTTCCCAGAAACAGCCCCACTATGCCTGCCTGTAAGGGCGCGAGCTCCATCAGAACAGAAGCCCACACATTTCCCCCCACTGGATCCCTTTGTCTCTTATGCAATTATTGAGAGTGTGAAATATTTCTTCTCCAGTTGTTCAGGTTGACAAAGTTCTAAAAATCAGAATATCGTCATGAATGTCGTTATCATGCGCATATCTTGCGTAGCATATTAACTGCGCATCATTTTCAGTATAAGTAGTCTCGTCTATTTGTAAAGCTTAACAAGGGCTCTTCTTAACTCTTTCGATTAACGGAGATTCTACGCTTTCTGCCGTATCGTTAATTCTGCGACCGACAGTGTCATTTTAAAGAGGAATTAAATCAACATTTTTTTTGTAACTTGTTGCCAAACATAGTTTTTATCACATATTTTATGACTGCGAGAAGTAAATTTTCCCCAATAGAATGAGGTTTTCTTGTTTTGGCTATGTTTCCAGTGCCTTGTTATATTTTGCACATGATTTAATATCCCTAAACGTCGCTGAAAAAATTCAATTGATTTTTCATATCACAATGTTTAGTTTCTAAATGTCGTAAGCACAATAGACCATTGAAGGTCGCAGTGCTAGGGCCAGTTTTATGGCCCACCCTTCATACTCATAATCTAAATGTCGACGGAGTTCCCAGATTTTATGCACTCGTTCCACAACACTTCATAACACAAAAGACATTGAGGTTTCTGTTCATCTTCATCACCACACCAAGTAAGCCCGATTTCCCATATGAATTATCATGAAGAAAGCAGTCTTCTGGGATATGGCACCGTGTATATGTGGTGTTAACCGACGTTTCGGAGGAAGGTATCGCCTCCATCTTCAGGGTAGAAGGAAAAATATAAGAAATCCGCAAGCGAAGAGACCGTGAGAACAG